AACCCCCCGCCGGTGCCATGGGGTGACTGGTCTCCCTAAACTGCGTGGGGAGAGTGGCGAGGCACGTACGTTATCCTGAATTGCTGTGAGCGGGTCGTTCCTTGAGTCCCAGGGAGAAGGAGATTGTAGGTGAGACATTGGCGAACCTGACTTTTGCCCCCGCGCAGCCCATGGTCCTTTTAACTGCAACGTGCTTTTTTTGTCCATCCTCTTCAAACAAAGCAATGCCATTTTGGTTAACCCGAGGAGCGTGCGGATTCCTTCTAATCACGTGATTTATCCAGGATACTGATTGCTATTTTTTATAAAGTTTATGGCTCTAGTGCAGGGGATCCCCAGCCCTGGGTGTCCTACAAACCTCGAATGCGAGGTGGCCCCTATGCTGAAGACCCTGCCCCCCGACCAGCTCAGCTGTGCAAGGGGGAAGGACATGATTTACGAGCAGCATCAACAATGTCATAAAGTGCAAGTGGCAAGTTAATGCCCCTTTTTTATTCCAGCCATTTGACAGGGCCCTGTTAATAGAGGGCTGGGGAGCAGAAACAAAGGAAGGAGCACAGCAGCTAAAAGCCGGTTGTCACAGCGCTGCTGCATTAGTGTGAAAACGCTGTGTTTTATCAGAAAAGACGCGCCCTCTCCGTAACAAATGGCATCCCGCAGCGAGTGGCAGCGCCGGCCTGTGGATTCCTGTGGACTGTGGACGTCGTCGACAGGCTCTCTGGGAGAGGGCAGGGATGCTGAGCTGTTCAGTCAGACTCAGCGCTCTGCACTGCTATCTTCCCTGGGAAGATCAGACTGAGAAAGGTGGAAACCCGTAGGGGTGAAAACCTGGCAGGCTGGGGGGGTGAGAGAAGGCAGCGCGATGGGGTGCGTCTTGTGGAGGGGCTGGCTTTGGAGGGGACGGTGGTGGATGTGGAGGGACTACAAGCGGGGGATCGGGGAGTGCACTAGGACGGGTGTTTGGAGGCTGGAGCAGGAGCCGTGTTGAATTTTGGGGTGGGAGCGGCACGAGGGCGGGCAGGCTGTGCGGAGGGCAGGGGTCTCCGGTGCTCGGAGCGGCACGGGCGCTCCTTGGGGTCAGCAGCGCTGGAGGCTTCTGCGCTGCTCCCCTTCCGCAGAGCAAGTGTGCAGCTTGCCGCGCATTTCTGTTATTTTCTCGGAAAATGAGATGTGTTCTCTGAAGCAACTTGCCTTTCTTTCCAGTGCTCCTTTAAAGGTGTTCAAATGAGCTTTGCTCCGTTTCCTTACTTTGATCTGTCGTTAGAGGTGGTGAAATGCTCCCTGGCCAAGTGGGGCTGCTTGGAGGCTTCATCCCAAAGTTGGGTTCTGAGCGTTGGTTTTGTCCTTGATCTGATACTTTAATGAATTCGGTAGATGTATTTTAACATACCTGGGTTTATTTTTAAAGTTTTCCCCAGTTGCTTTCCTCCCTATCTCTCTTTCGTGGGAAAACAAACCAACAAAAACCCCATCCTAAATTTTTCTTTTTTCAAAGGTGAGTATTGCAGAGGGGGCCTCTCATCTCACCTTGTTTGGAGGTTGGGTTTGGTTTTATTTTTTCCCCACAGTCTACAGTTGCTGTTAGTTCACGTTTGGTTTAGTAATTAATCAGGATATAAATAATACATAGCATGTTATCAGAAAACTGCTGCATGCCAGTCTTATGGAGGCAGGCACTTCCAGCACCAGCGGGGAGGGCTTGCCTTCTGCTGCTCCGCAGCCCCCTAAGGCCAATTAAGGTGCATCTTTGATGAGATTCCAGCCACTCCTTGCCTGGATACATGGCTGCTCTGATGCAGGGAGGGGGGCAAAGCACGCGAGGATGAAGGGGATTTTAGCGTTGAAACAGCTGTGGCGAGCGCCGGCGCCCGAGCCCTCCCCTCCTCCCCTGTGCGCCGGGGCTGAGGCTGGCGGTGGTGGCACCGAGCGGATGGTCAGGCACCAGCGGCAGCTTACGGGAGGCCTGTGGGTCTGCTGGATCTGCTGGAGTCTGCAAAGACTCGGTAGCACGTCCTTTGCCTTCAGCCTTCATCCTGTAAAGGTCTTTTCTTCTGAAGGCGTCCCAAGCGTGGAAACCTGCTTTACCTTCCCGTGCCCCTTCGCCACAGCTCTCCCAGCCTCCCGTGTAAACCCAGGGAATGACGTCTTCGGTATTTCTTGCTTCAAGGCTGGTGTTTATTTCAGCTGCAGTAACGAGTGCTAAACTGGCTGGCAGGAGAAATAAATGTTGCTATGACAGTTTGGGTGGAGATTTGGAAAAGGCACTTCAAGTTGCAAAACAAGCATAAAAACCATCAAGAAAAAAGCGAGCAAAAATGCAAACCCAGAGCCGATGGACTCTGAAGGCCACCAGGTTTTGACTAGGTCTGTGACATTCACAGCTGCGTATTTGCTCCATAGCAAGGCAGCGAGAGCAGAAAGAAGCGAGCTTGGGATAAGCTGGGCTTTGCAGTGGGGTCCTGGAAGCTCCCTGCAGCAGGCTGAATATTCAGGGCTGCTGCACGGTTCTGAACCTCTGCCCCTCGTCGTCTTGTAGTGATCGCTGGACTTCAGTGCTTGTAACAGTGACTTTCTTTTCCAACCATAAACCTTGAATGGGTAGACTCGGTTTGAAGCATGGCTTCAAATATGTTTGCTTTGGAGGAAGGAGGGAAAAGTGAGACGGTGCTGAGATGGGGTTCTGGCTCTGGGAGCTGTTTGTTGGCTGTTTGGCTCGTGCGGTGCCTGCTCTGTGGGTCTCACGTACTGCGGTCTCTCCTGCCGTAAGCTCCGGTGCAAAAGAACCTCAGCTGAAGCAGTGCAATAACATGCAGGACGTTGTGTTTCTCAGGTGTTGGAGCAAGATGTGGTTCTCCAGTCTATTGACCGTGCCATCGAGGCTGTGCACAACGCGGCAATGAAGAATGGGGGAAAGTACAACCTGGAGCAGAGAGATGTCCTCCAGTAAGTACGACGGGCATCTGGGAGAGATGGCGGATGGAGGGTGGTCGGGGTGTGATACTTGTGTCTCTTCTGTTCTTGGGGGTCAAGTTGGACGTCGTTGATTTGAGGCCCTGTGCTGCAAAGTGCTGATGCACTCGGAGAGCTTCCCAACGTTTGAGCTGGTAGCCGATGCTGCTCCTCCTGTCAACTGTGTCCAGCAAAGCGGTGCTTTGGTCTCCCTCTCCATCCCTGTGCGTGTAAAGAAGAGAAAACTCTCAGCCGCACTGTAGGCTTGGTGGAGAAATCCAAAACCTTTCTGGATGCATTTTCTCCTCTCTACCAGCCAGGAACTGTAGAGGTTGTTGGCATGTGGCACAAGGTCCTTAATATGTTCTCAAATAATTGCCTGTGAGGAGAATTTTTGTTTGACACCTCACGCTCTGCGCTGAGGCACGCCGGTTTAATCTCAGTTGAACAGCGATTCTAAAGTGCAGGCAATTTCTGAAGCTTGCAGTGCAATATGTGACTCTCCCCCGAGGAAGAGGCATTTTTCTCCAGTGAACTGATGAATAAATCATGGGCTCTTGCAAAGCCTCTTCCTTCCTCCCCCAGAAGTGCTTCCTTAGTTGTTAATGAAACTGGAGTTGGTGTTTGGAGTAACGTAACCCAGTCTGGTATATATAGCCCAAATGCAATAAATCATTTAAAAATACCATTTAAATGCTGCAGCACGGTCGCTCCCTTCCTTTAGCTTTGTTGTTCCTGATGTCGTCATTCCGTTTCAGAAAACTCATCCATCACCGGAAGGAGACCGTGTCCCGCAAAGGCCACTCTCCCACCCCGCAGGGGATGGTTATGACGCAGTCCTCCAGCGATCACCACCTGGACGTGGCCCGGCAGCCCAACGGGGTGTGCCGGACAGGATACGAGCGGCATCACAGTCTTCCAAACACCGAGTTTGAGGAGGAGGATGAAGGTCTCTACCAGGTAACAGTGGCTGGATGCTTTCTAGCTTCCTCCTTTGGTGGTATGACATCGCTTGTCCTGTTTAATTAAATGCCTTTGCAGCTGAAGTCACAAATCAAGCGTTTGTGCTGCTTACCCGGGATTACTGCAGTGTCAATGGATGCTGTCTCTATGTGAGAAGTCTGGAACAGTCCCTCTGCCGTTTACACGTGCGATGCTTTTTGGGATCCTTGAGGGTCCATGGTTTTATGGTGACATGCGAGATCTGCTCTATATTGCGTGACTGTCTCTTGACAACTTTCTAGAAGAGGGTTTTGAGGTGAGCAGCAGAACTCCCTCCGAGTACTCACCACTGCTTTGTTTGCCCCTTGTTAAATCTGCACAATGAGATCTTTGCTCCTTAAGAATTTTATCTGCTGTGGCTGCCTATTTTTACTACTCAAAACTTAAAAAAACCAAAGATCCTGGTTTGTCCGAATGTTTCTTGTCATGATGAATTAAAGGTAAATTGCAGGAAATATGATTTAGAGCGGATTTTTTTTTTTTTCATCTTGACGGCACACAGTTCCAAGGTTACTGTGCGGCGCCAGCGAGGCTTCAGAGCAGCAGCCCAGGACGGATGCAGCCGTTGTTGGGGATGAATGATGTGGCCGATGACGCTGTGTAGGTGTAGCCGGGTGTTAGGGCTACGGGCACCAAGCAGCGTGGAGATTTTTTTCTCCTGCAGATGAAGATGAGCACTGTAGTTTTTCTTCATCTATCTGGGATAAGTGTTTGGAAGCAGTGTTTATAAGGTACTGATACACTGTCACTCCTAGCAGATGGGGCTTGTTTTACACTTGAAGAACTGCGAGTCTGCAGAGATGAAAGGTAGCTCTGGCTCATGCAGAACACGGCAATCCCTACAAACCCCATTTTTCTCCTTGGTATTCATTTTCTTTTCTGGGCAGCTAAACCAGCTCCATTCTCCAGCCTGTGCATTATGGGCTAAGTGAATGGAGCACCTTACGGCCCCTTCTCCATGCCAGTTCCCCGTCTTTAACTGGTCTGTGGCTTGGTCGCTTGCCAGAAAGGAGCAAGACGGATTCCTTGGTTCACAAAGAACTGTTTCTGCCTGGGTGGCACTGAGGATGCAGTCGGAGGGCTTCCAGCTTTGCCCGGTGCTGAAAGGGCTCCTTCAGGTTTTAACAGCTCAGCTGAGGGATTTCCTGTGTGCTCTGAAACACGAAACGGAGGAAGCAGCGTTGCTTTCTTCCACAGGTTATGCAGCTGCCTAAGAGGAGACCTACCGAAATCTAAACTTTCTCACTAACTCCGGAGAGCAGAGGTCTTGGGATGTGCTTTTCACTGCTTGGGATTTTCGGGTGCGTTCGATGTTTGCATCTGAAAACTTAAGCGAAATTTGAGGTGCAGATTGCCCGTTGGTGGCTTTGCTCCCAGGGCTGAGCGGGCTGCAGTGCTTGGTGATGGCACCAAGCCTCCCGTCCACTCCTCCGTAGCTAGCATAAGGTGGGAGGCTGGGGCAGTTGCATACCAGCTGCCAAGGGAGGAGGTTGGGATCCCAGCGTATTTCAGTCATAGTCTGCTGTCTTTGCGCATGCTCAGCGGGTTTGTGATGCTCGTCTCCAGAAGCCTTTGCTGCAGACCGGTGTGTCCGGCTTGGCAGAGTTTGCCTAGAGGAGGTGGTGGGTGCGGGAATGTTGGTTTGGTTTTTTGTTTTGGTTTATTTTGTTTGTTTGTTTAAAAGTTCCTACTATAACAGCGTTATTCCCAGGAGTTGAAGGAGTGGCGGTGGTCTCTGCCTGCCCAGCTGGGAGGGGGATGGGAGTGTTGCAGTTGAGTCAGCTCCTGTCTCAGGCAGCGCAGGGAGCAGAGCCTCTGCTAGCAGTCCCTGCAAAATGGAAAAGGAGAGGAAGCACATGTGTAAAACCCATGGATTTGGGGAAGTTCACAGCCCCCTTGTAGAGGCCTGGGGAAAGGGAGGCTTTCAACACGTGTGAAGGTGCTTGTCTCTGGACCCTTGGTAAGGTCCCTCCTCTTCTCCCCTCTGGACCGGAGGGATCTGAGCTGCAGGGACTCCTGCACGGTCACCTTCCCCACGGCAGCCGGACAGAGGATGTTTTCTCCCCTTTCCTCCCCTTCCCTTGGGGGTTTCGATGTTGTACGTCCTCCCCTTGGCCCCACGCAGCGGCTGGGACATGGGGCGGAGGGAGGGGATGCCCATCGGTTACCCCTCGCTACTCCTGACGGTGCGGCAGCTCGCAGCTCAGGCAGGCACCAGCACGGGGAAATTCAGCTGATGCTTCACGTCTAGATGAGGCTGGCAGGGCTCTGAGCTAATGTTAGCTGGACATCTATTAACTTAAGCACTAGTCTGTAATAGCTGTGTTAAATTTGCGTGGTAAATTTGGAAGGGCTAATGAAGCCATGGAAGTACTCCAGAATGACCCAGCCCTAGCTGTCTCCAAATAATGTCATGCTGCTGCCCTAAGAATCTGAGCCTGCCTGTCTGCTAAATCCCGCTGCTTCGGTAATGGTGGCCGTGCCGTGCCAAGCAGCTCCGACTCGTGCCGTTAGCTCCATCGCTCCGCAGAGAGGGCTCTGCTTTTAGCACAGCTGAGCTTTCCGGATTTGGGACCAGCCTTCCAGCCATGCCATGCAGAGACCCCTCCTGATCTGTTTGGCCTCTCTCAGCTGTGCAGTCTCTTTTTGGACCGACATGGATCATTTTTGAAGCTGTATGCAAGTATCATATAGCGTTTTACCCAGAGAACAATGTGGGATGGATTGACAAGAGCAGAAGAGTTCAGGCTGGGAGTCTGCAGCAGTATGTTGTACTGATCCACCCGCTAAAGGCGCTTGTAAAGCAGCAACTTGTTGTGTGAGATAGTAAAAGGCTGGATGTATTAGGCGCTGGGTGGGAGAAAGGGACTGAGATCCCTTCTCAAAAGTCTTTGTGAGCCGTGCAAACTGCTGTGTCTTCACTCATCTGGTGGGCTCCAGCCATGGGCTGTGAGCGCCCTATTGTCAGCTTGTGACGCCGAGTTTTGAACGTTTGAGGTGGCTCCTGAAGGTGTCTTATTTCCAGGAATATCTTTGCTCCCATTTCAGAGTAACTTTCTGCCCTGCCTGGATCCAGGGGAAAAAAGTACATTTTTCATTCTCCTTGTTCTGAGCTATTTAAAATAGAGATCTTTCAGGGCCCTGTCTCGGATTTTTGCTGCGGGGACTGGCAGTGCTCTGTTCAGCACGGACAGGTCACAGAAAAACTTCTCTTCCAGGGCTAAAGAAACCTGGGCAATTGGCACCGTGTGATGGTCTGGATGTCACTGTGGTGGGTTGATTCCAGCTGGCTTCAGCCTGGGCTACCTGAGACATTCAGGCCATCACCTCCTTTCCCTTCCCGTGCTGCCCTGGGCGGTTTTGCTGCAGGCAGCGATTGCAATATCCCCTAAAAACAGAAGTGCGAAGTCCTAAGAGACCCCTAGGAGTCTCCTGGCCCTGAGCCACCGGGATGTAAGGATTAGAGTATTGATGCTATGTGCTCCCACCTAGCTCGGCCGCTGTGTTCAGCGGCATCTTACTGATCAGAGGTTAACCCTGAGGTCACACCGCACCGGTGTAGTTCTGCGTGAAAGCGGTGCCGGTGATCGTGGTGTCTGGAGCTGAGAGGAGAAGATGAGCGCAGGAATCTGGGTCCGTAGCTCGTCCACCGCTGGCTCGGCGTTGCTGGTGGAGGAGACTTACAAGAGAGATCCCAGATGTTGAGAGTTAATGCAGCTCCCTGGCAAAAGCTTTTCCCAGCGGGTCTTGCTATAGGTAGCGTAGGACTGCACAGAGGGTCTAGCCCTATTTTCTCCCTCCCTGCATGAGCAGAAATAGCTCTGAAAGCATGGAAAAGGCATTTACATGTCTCCAGTCCTTGGCTTTGTCTTTCTGCGAGGGTATTTGTAGCTGATGTAATGGATCTCTCCAGAAGACTGTCTAAATACGCGCTCTGTTTGCATCCTCTGTGGAGCTATTGAGAGTAATGTGGAGTCACGGTGAGTGTGTGGGATCGCATTTGGAATAAAGGAGGAGTAAATGCTTGACAGGTGTGTGCTGTGTGCTGCTGAACACAGCAATTAAACAAGGGCTGCTTTGCCTGTCACAGGGAGGGGATGAAGCAGGCTTGAGTCCTGCTTTGTTCTTCTAGGAAGCTGCCTATTAATATCTGTCCTCCTGAGAAAACTTCCCCGAATGATGAGAGAGATGTAAGGACAAATCTACACATGCATGCGAGAAAGAAGGTTTCATAGCAGAGAATGTCTTTATTGTCAACCTCCTTTGATTGCTCTGAAATCTTTCCTTATAGATCCCACCACAGCCCCGGCGTGCTGCTCCTATCACCCCCCCACCTCCAGAGAAACGCAAGAACACGCAGATTGCGGCTCCTGTTAAAAGTAAGGACAAACTGCTGTCTGGATCTCGGGCATGAAATGGACACTGGGTGATATAAGTCATGGTGCCTGGACGCTTTTGCTTTGTGCTTAGAAGGGCATCCTTATATATATCCCAAATTCCTATAGGTTTTATCTCCTTTTATATTTATATATTGCTTCTAAGTTCCTATAGGTTTTAATGCTAATGATCATGAGCTAGGGGCCAGTGCTCCTTCATGTCCTCTCTGATCCAGGAGGGTTGGGGCAGCCTCGTGCCTGCGGATGGATGCCAGGTACAGCATCCTCCTGGTCCTCCGGCGCCTGTGGTGGTCTCCTGGGAGCAAACTCTCTGCCTGCTCATGTGGCTAATCTGGCCAGCGCACAACCTTGGTGATGTAAGGTCCTTGTGGGTGTTTTACTCCCCCAGACGCCACGGCCACCTCCCAGCAAGGCAGAGGGAGATTTCCCGGGCAGTGCAGAGTGCGGTAGTTCACCAGGGGGAGCTCACTGGTAGTGCTTTTAGGACAGGCCCAAGTCTGCTTTTGGCTCCCAGTCTGTCTGGTGCTTTCTTTGTACAGCGCTTGGATGAGATTTCCATAAAATCAGTGGCTGGTGTCTGTAAGGAGCAGAAATAATACCAGGGGACGGCCGTTTGTACACTGCCCACAGGCAGGGGAGCTGCTGGTCGTGAGCACTTCAGAGCAGGACCATGGAGCCAAGGAAGGAGCTTCTCCATCTTCAGTGCGGTTGGGCTGGCAGAGGCAGTGGTCATCCTGCTGAGTCGCTCTCAGCTTGCCCAGGCGCTCTCCTGTGCTGTGGCAGTCACCCATTAGTGACACACAGCCCCTCTCAAGCCCACTCGTGTCCCCTTGTGAGGAGCAGGGCAGAGATGTTGACTTGCAGGTAGTTAATTGAAACTTGGGGCTGGCACCAGCTCACTTAATGGTACTTAATGGTATTGAGCCATTTTTCACTGCAGTAGTGGGAATTCGCAAAGGTCAGGTTCCTTCAACTCCGTAGCTTGATTTAACGAAGCACGGTGGGAGCTATGATTTTGTGAGGAGGAGGAGGAAAAAAGAGGGATGCTGAACCCCTGTGGGAGGGAAGGGCCCTGTTTTTCTGCCTAGCTTGTGCTTGCCGTGGGATGGAGTGGGAACGGAGTAGCGTAGGGCTCCCAGGGCCCACGGGGCGGGAGAGCCTCACATGTCCGTCCCGCTGGTCCTTCTTTGGGTGTGGGGGAAGCTGCCTTCCCTGGGAGCTGGGCTCCCCGTGGCGTGCGCTCCTCTTCCAGCACCCGCGTCAGCTGCTCTCCCGAGGCTCTGGATGAAGGTAGCCCAGGGTTTGCCTACGTAACTGTTTTCATAGTCAGGGAAGGACTTGGATACATTTCTGCCCCCTAGAAATGAATGGATAAGGTTTACCAAAAATATATATTAGATCAAGGTAAAGGAGAGAAAAATCTTAACATCACTTTGCTTGTAGTGGATTTTTTTTCCTTGAAAGGTTGGGCAGCTACCGCTGCTAGTCAAAACTAGAGGCGGGGGGAGAAACACAGTAGAGCAGATAACGTGGAGGCTTGTGAAAGCAGTGGATGCTAGCAGGGCTGCGGGGCTCGTGATCAAATGTTGGAGAGTGCTGAAAGGGAGAGACTAGAGGTGTTGTCAGCCAAATGTTTCCTTCACCGTCGGTGCTAACCGTGGTGTACAGTCGGTGAGGTTCGTGCAAGAGGGAGGCATGGGCTAGCGTGTGAAGCCTTCACTGTCTTGCAATTCTCAGGCAGCATCATTCAAAAGTGAGGGCTTAGATCCTGAACACAGAAAAAGGCCCTCACTAAGCCAGGGGGAAAAGACTTTTCTGTCCCTTAGTCCTGTCCCTCCCTTCCCCTGCGTAAAACACTAAGCCCTTTGAAGGGTATTCATCTCAATAGAGTAGTTTTCCCCTTTCTAAAGAGGTGATTGTGCGGGAATGCTCCAGAGAGAACTGGTACAATTTTGCTTTGAGATAAGTGAGGCAGGAAGAGGAGTTAAACAGCTCTGGTCGCATGCACAATGAGCCTTTTAATGGACTGCACTGTAGCAATTCGGGGCTTTTTTCTTTTTTTCTTTGATGCTGTTGCTAAGGCATTTTTAATTGTTCCCTTTCAGACGCTATTGAAATTATCCCTGGGTCAGCTTCTAGCGCCTCCTCTATAAGCACGACATCCCTGGATACCTTGTACACCGCTTCTTCTGCGTCAGAGGCTGCTCTCCCGACGGCCACCTCCAGTCCTGCCAACACCCCACCCCCTGTCCCGAGCCGGAGCGTCCACACCACGATAACACGTAATTTGGATGCCGGCTCTGTGGCCCACTCCCGCTACGGGACTTCCTCAAAGGATGGGGCCAGCAAATCTCCCCAGACCAAGAGGGCTGCCCCAGCACCGCCGGCTGAAGGAGGAACCCAGAGGTCCCACACTGTGGACGGGGAGAAGACTTCTCAGGTGAAGAAAGCTGCCCCGGCCCCCCCTGCAAGCCTGGATGCCTTCAACTCCCTCTGCCTGGAGGATAAGAAGGCGGCCGTGGTGGAGCCGGTGCCACCAGAACCCAGTGGTCTGGTGGCATCCGTGCCCAAGACGATAGGCGCCGAACTGATCGAGCTGGTGCGCAGGAACACCCACCTCAGCTACGAGCTGTCCCGTGTGGCCATCGGCGTGGTCATCGGCCACATCCAGACCTCCATTCCAGCAACCAGCAGCATCATGGAGCAGATTCTCATCTCTGTGGTGGAGAGTAAGGTAACGCTTGCGGGGCTGGGCCAGGGGGCTGCTGCAGATCACCTCCTAGCATCGGGCAGACGGTGTTACGAGCTCAATGAGCTCTCCTAACGTTTGGGATGAGAAGTGCAGTGAGATCCTAAAGGAAAGGGGAGAGATGCTAGATGGGGTGAATGTCTGGCCAAGGGAACCAGGGATTTAAACCAGGTCCGAGTACTGGTAGCAGGAAAGTGGAAAACAGGTGAGTTTATTCCCCAAGTGAGCCGCAGATGTGCGGCATAAGCTTGAGGGTGGAGCTGGGGGTGAGAGGCGAAACCAGCTGAGAGGGCCCTTGGTGCTGGGAAGCGCTGGCAGGCTGTGGTGGAGGGGTGGGCGTCTCAGACGAGACTGCGGTTTGGGGAGGGGGCGATGCGATGGACGGCGGTGAATTGAACCGCAGGAGCACATCAGGTGGGAGGTGACAGCCGTCCAGGTCCCGGGGACAGCACTGGCGACGAAGCAGCGGTGGGAATGGATGCAGCGGGACTTGAGGCGCGCTGAGAAAGCTCTGACGGGAGTTGTTGATGGCTGATTGTGAAGGCTCACGGAGAACCATTGTGGCAGCAAAGAATCAGAGAAAGAAAAGAATAGTGACTTTTTAAAGAGGTGTTTTCCATTATGAATGCCACAAATAGAAGCTGAGGGAAGTGGAGCCTTTGCAATAAGTGCTTCTTTATAGAAACCTTTTATAAAATAATGCATTGTATAAACTTCTTTTCTTCTACGGTGCTGCACGTCCTCTGTGTAGATTCAGCATGCCTATGCATACTATAAATCTGCATGGATTCCCGTCTCTTTTGATGATGGAGCACCCAAAATTTCTATATGTCTGGCCTGGTCTTTCATCAAAGCAATGAAAACTATTTTTCCATAGATGCGAGCCTTTCTATTATTCCCTAACACACACCTCAGCCGTGCTTTTTCTAAAAAAAAACAACATGGAAAAGTAGTTTTCAGCCACTGGAGGAAGAGCATTATCTTGAGCTTGTTCTAAATACACCTTATGCCAAAATGATCGTATTTTCCTCCTTCCTCTGCTGCAGATACGCAAGGAGGGAAATAAAAGGATGCTTCTTGCAGCAGTCATTGAAATGGCGAAGTGCACCTGGGCAGCCCTCCGCTTTACTTGGAGGGATAATAAATTTCAGCTCCCGCTTGCTGAATACAGCCCCGAGGAGTACGTTTCATAAGAGCATCTAAGATTGGAGTTCCATTGGTAATGGCAGGATTATAATGAACTGTTCAGAGGCGTTTGAATGTGGAAAACTAATGGCATTCAAATTTTAGATCAAATCATAATCTAGTTAGCTGTCTGGACTGAGTAGAGGGTCCTATAAGCAATCGTCAGGTTTCAGTGTGTGGCTGTAACCCAACGGTTAATTGCTGCCGATTTCGGTAACAATACTGTGTCCATGTGCCATCTAGATTCAGCAAAAAAATTTAGCTGTTTCAAGCAAATGTTCTGGCTCTGACTTGCATGCTAAGAAGTGCAGTTTTCTGTTATTTGGACCTTGGATGAGATTTGAATATTGTTTTTATCTTTAATACCTGTTCTCGGGATACAATAAGCTTAATTCCACAGAAGTCATTTAGTGCTAGGTTTCTGCGCAGGGGATTTGAAAACCTCAATTTCATGGCTGTTGCTGTGGACCAGCCTGGAAAAGATGGGAAGAAATTCTGGTGCTGGTGCAGGGGCGAGTATGGATCTACCCGTAACTGATATGGTTTCTGTCATCTAGGACATCCGCAGGACTTAAAAATGCCCGGTACAGTATGGAGGCACAGAAGAAGGTCCTGTCCCATCTCCTAGTACCTCATCGTGGCCTATCTTGAGCGGCACTGCTTTCAGGAGGAGAGCCTGGGTGGACATGCACAGTGCTCAGGTGTAAATGTGGTGGTTGTGGTGTGCGTTTTTCCTGAATGTCCCACGCAGAAGATGTGGCTCTGCTGGTACGTGGGCGCCTGGTCCCAGATGAGGTGGTTCACCTGGTGTAGACGACCAGCTCTAACGGTTAAAAGGGCAGTCGTGTAGTTGTAGGGTGGCTGTACTGCCGTAGCTTCACTGGCGTAGTTTAATGGTACAAATTATTATTGTTGACTGTGTTGTTCATTATCCCAAGTCGTTCCATGATCTCAGGGGTTTCTGGGTAGAATTGTTGCTGAGTCGCCAGTTCTAGGTCAAGGGCTTTTTTTCTTTAATTTGTAACTTCTGAAATCCCTCTGCACGCCAATCCATGCAAATACGTGGTCAATTCTTCTTTTGCCTATTTTTCAAGGTTTTTCTTCCCCCCCCTAAAATGGAGCGAGAGATCAGCTTTGATTTAAAGCTTTGGTCTGCTCATAGTAGATATCATACCTGCTTCAACCTTTTGTATCACATTCTTTAATTAGTTTTAACCTTTCTATTCCAGTCTTAATTTGAAGTCAGATCATCAGTTTACAAAATCAATTCCAGAATCCATTACCTTGCTCCTCTCCCCAGTGCCTTCTGAAGATTGAATCGCGGTGGCACGTCCCTCTTATTTACCTTGCTGCTCCTCCAGCGTGGAGTCTGCCAACACACACGTTTTCAAGAGAACAAAAGACCCTTCTGCTGGGACAGCATCGTGCTCCTGCTTTTAGAGAGGTAACGTAAGGCTACGCTGGGGGAGCAGCAAAGACAAGGAGGGTGCTGAGGTGCTCACACCTTAGGAAGGATGCTTCAGAGGTACCATACTACTTGGGGAAGCCTGATCTGCAGGAGCAAACATGCTGAGTTGGCTTCCCCGTGTCAGGATTTGGCCTGGCCTTGGAAATGGCCCCTCTTCTTGTCCTTTGGCCGGTTCCTGATGAGCGGCACGGTGACGGGGCAAGAGGCGTAAAGGGAGATGAAATCTCTTTTCCAAGGCATTGCTGCAGTGACCGTCTGAACTGGAGCTGGCTTTCATGGGAACTCGTTTGATATTTGGACGTAACTGAAGATAATGTAGATGCTGCCTGGTTTTCAAGCATCTAGAGAATCACTTGGATTAGTATGTATTGGTGATATGTGATTGTCTTCAGCTCTGCTGAATTATCTCCCATCTGAGAGGAGGGGGTGGCACTGAAAACGTCTTGTCTAGGGAGGTCGATTTGATGATTTACTAAACTGAGTGTGAGGCGAGAAAAATTGCCTAATACACAAGCTAGCTACACCTTGAGAGGGAGCGCTTTGAAATCACTTATCTGCTTTTTATTAAATTAGCATTGCTGCGTTCCACTTGTGACTGACCCATCTCTGGTTGCCTTAAATTTAAGCTTGGAAACTGCTGACAAAGGTCTGTAATTCAGTTCGGTCTTATAGATCAGCCCAGGCTGCTGGGTGGGGTGGAACGGTCCTTGGATGTGTCGGAGATGGAGGAACAAGTTAGGAAGTTGGTGTGGGAGATGCTGTGTTTCTGGAGGGGGTTTCTCTTGTAGTGCTGGGCTGTGACCTGCTCCCAGCTGCCCATCACCAGCGCCTGGTGGCTGCCTGTTGTCCCCAACGAGCCCTGACAAACCTTGTAGAGAATGGTGCTGTAGTGGGAACGGTTTGCTGCCCAGAGGAGGGGGGAATTCCCAGAGCGGTCCCCCTAAAATGTGTGTAAAAAGCTGCTATAGGGTTTACCCGAGGCAGATCTGGGCTCATCTGGAGGGAAACTGCTGGTAGGTGTGCATACCCACGGCACTGGTGATCCGTCACACTCGCTGACGTGGTGGTGGGGAGGGAGGTGTGGGAGGGGGCGAGGAAAAATGGGAGGAAGAGCTTGGCAGGACAGCACCCAGGTTTTCATGGCAGACATGACCACCTCTGAGCAGTGTGGGTGCGATGAGGTTCCCAAAATGGTTTTGGGCTGCTCAGGGGGAACAAAATCCCTGCAGCAGCTTGTTCTGCTGGGCTGGGAAGAGGGAACTATTCGAAACAGCAAGATAATGCAAAGCGGTGTTGTTAGAAATACCGAAACCTCCTCCTGCTTATGAGCTCTCTGGCAGATTCCTGGAAACGACCATATGACGAGGCTGCAGGCTGAAGTAGCTGCCAAGATGTTTAATAAGCAGAGACCCTGACCCCGGTGGTGGGAGGGCCGAGAATGGTGCTGAGAGTGCATTGAGACGGTGCGCGGTGTAGTTACACCGGTTGGATTGAAGAGCTTGTTAATGGATTGATCTCACCCAAGTCCATTAAGAGCTTGATGCTTGGTGGAGTCGTAAGGGCTGCAGATGAAGGATTGGAGGAAGCAGATTAGTGATAAGAGGCTGAATAGAGTGATCGTTAAAATGACTACTTGTTAAAATGCTCATCCAAAAAGATGTCCCAGCAGTGGAGTGAGGTAGGACCATCCCTGCACTGCTCTGCTGAGGGGGATGTGAGTACGGTACCTAAATGGAGAACCCTCTCCCAAGCAGCTGGGACACGTGAGGACAGGCAGGAGATGCTGCAGTTTTGTAGGTCCCCCTAAAGAGAGGAGGAGATGGCGAGACCAAGCGAGTCTCTTCCCTAACGCGATAAATCCCCATTCCGTGGGAGATTCTCCTGCGTTTGTGCCCAGCTCCTGAAAGCTGCCATCCTCTCTCACAGCTGGTTACCTGGTTTTCTGCTTGGCTATCGACAGCTTCCCAAAATTTGAAGAGCGTACAGAGGCTTGCGTTAAACCAGCACGCTCCTTCCTTCGTTACCTGCCTGACAAAGATTATGTAATGAGCACCCACAACAGGAACAGGTTTTTATTATAAAATTGAAGCACTGAATTGAAGTCCTAATGAGTTCACACCCCAAACACCCCGAAGCAAATTACTAACACTTGTGTCTCTAATAAAGCAGATGAGACGTTACTGTTAGACCTGCAGTGGTTTTCCCCGAAATTTCTCAGCTCCGTTCTCTTCCACCTTGCTGCTTGTTGTCTCTGCTGCCGGACCCTTGTGTATATAATGTAAGTTCTTCGGCAAATTAGTCCTCTTCCCTCTCTTAATGGTGCCTGGGCTCATCGCCTGTAATCAGCCTGGTTCCATGTGCTGATCCCTCCGCTTGCCCTCATCTCAGGGGCCCAGGTAGTGCATATGGTATACATAGGTGCTAGAGGGTTATCCTAAATCACAGCCCGCAGCAGCTCTTGGGGCAGGTTAGCTGCTGCCTGGCTACGCCCCTCTCTGTCTCGAAGGAGAGGAGAAGTGTTGGAAAGACAACTGGAGAGTGAAGCCTTCGTGGCAAGGGTTACGCGTGAGCTGGGAGTGGTGGGGGTGCAGACGACAGCAGTTTGAGAAAGGAGTAGGTGCGGTAAGATTTGCTGAGTTAGTCTGCATCGTGGCTACAGGCTTCAGAGCTGCTGCGAACGGTGGTTGAGCTCTGCCGTTCGGAAGAAAGCAGAACCAAAGCAGCTCAGGATGGGTTGGTTCCCATCCTTGCTGCAGAAGATGTCAGACATAGTATTGAGCAGTTGGCCTGTAGAGTACCATGCAAGTGTTTGCTCCCGAGCCAAGGATTAAAAGAAGATCTGTCCCTTTGGGGCTGGAGGGAGGGGGCAGTGAAGGGAACTTCTCCTTCCCGGAGGCAGTTGTGCAGCGTGGTGGTTTTGTGTCCCGGGGCACATCTGTTCTACTGGGGCTGAGCCTGGAGCTGCGCTCAGGCAGCGGTCCTGGCCCATGCCGGGCTGGTTTGGCTTGCCCCGTTCTCAGGACGATTTTCAGAGTCTACAGCCTGTCCTCTGAAGGGCTTCTGAACACCTGCCTGATGCCCGCACCCAGAAGGAAACCAGCGTTTTACTTGTTTTGTGGGGAGGTAATGGAGTACCTCCAGGCTCACTGCGGCTGGGTTGCCCCACGCTCTTGGCGCACTGGACTGCTTCTGTGAACGATGTGGCGTGTTCGGCTGCCCTGTGGGAAGGGCGAATGAGGGTTTAGCCGGCACTCACCGTAGCACTCTGGCCAAGCATTTTGGGTTTTCCTTTAAGTGTGTTGAAACGCGCAGAGGGCTGTGGTCATCCGAGCTGGCTCCTTGCCTTAAGTTCCTCTCCTATAGGAATGGGCATTCATTACCCCCTTACCGCAACGTTCGCCCTCCCCGGGGCAGGCAGGCGGCCTGCTTTGCTGCGAAGGGACGTGGGGCAGTTTGTGGTGTGCGTGTGTGCTAAGAGGTTACAATTATGTGATCTGGGAGAGACTCGGGTACAAATTCCCACGGCTTCGGGAATGTTGGTTTGCCTGGATCAGCCTTAGGTTACTAAAAGCAATAAGAAAAAAGGGGTGTAGCTTTGTTTGAGTGAGATTTCTTGGGCTCTTCAACATCCTCAGAAGACAGCTGATGCTCCAGCAGGATGGTGACAGCTTGGATTTAAAGACTTTCTGATCATGCACCAGTTCCGGCACCTATTTTGGTTCATTCACTGCATTAGCGGTGCAAGGCAAGGAGGCAAGTAGAGGCCCCAAAAGTACGAGAGCTGAAATAACACGTGTCTTAAACTTGCTGTCTTTTTGCTGCCAGCTCTTGACTGAATGAGGTCAACTGCCAGTCCCGAGACAAAGATTAGAGGAAACAGGCACCCAAACAACAGCTAGCTGTCAGGGCCCCGCTAACCAGGGGTTTTGCTGTCGTGCAGAATCTGAGTGCAGGGCTGCCCTCGGGACAGATCTGCCACGACGAGCAGCGGCTGGAGGTGATCTTCGCAGACCTGGCCAGGCACAAGGACGATGCTCAGCAGCGCAGCTGGGCGCTCTACGAGGATGAGAACGTCATCTGCTGCTACCTGGAGGAGCTGCTTCGCATCCTGGTGAGTGAATTTCTCTCTTTATAGGCAGAGCAGACAGTCCCAGTGAAGTTCCTTTTATTCTGACCTCCCTCGCCCCTGTGTTGCCATCAGATCTGCTGTTTTGGAGGGCGTAGGCTTCTTGTGCATCCCTTACCGTTGATGTGAAGCCCTGCCCTCCTGTGTGGGGTCTGCAGTGCTCTTGAACTGCCTTCCACTCTACCTTCCAAAGTTGTTCTGAAAAGAGTTATAGAACTGTTCTTCGTGGTAGCTGTGGTATTTACCTAGCACAGGAGAATATAAACCCTCACCTCCAAAACTAAAAGCAAACTTAGAAGTTTACTGTGAGTGTTGTTGCACTCCTAGGCCCATATAAAATGTCTTCCATTTAAAACATCCTCTGTGGCTGGGAAGCACCTGTGGGGTGAGGCTCATTAAATGCAAAGAAAACTCTTTGGTTGTGTTGAAAGTGAGCTTCAAAGCTATTTTTGTGAGCAAGTATAAAGTATCTCACCACATCTGTGCATATAGAAGGGGTACACCCCCGTAGCGAGCAGCAGCGGGAAATACTGTCGCAATGCTGCCACTAGCACGTACAATCCCATATGTGTACAGGGGGTGGGATGGTACGGGAGCTGCCGCTCAGCACAGTGATGTGGTCTGTGTTACGAGTGCTGGTGTGGGATTTGCTCTGGCACCCATTTCATATTCCTCTCCAGCTCTGACACGAGCAGAACAGGTCTATTTGTGGGTAATAAATGCCAGTGTCTTTGTCACTCAACATATGGCCTGCCGCCTCGCTGTGAGCCGGCAGGGCAAGGCAGAGGGGGATTTTGTGCAACCATTTCCTCGTAGTTTAGGGGAGGGAGGAGATGTACAATACGTCTGAAGGTGGGAACGGCGCTGGAGCTGCCGTGTGCAACTGCATGTTGCACTCATCAAGCTGCTGCTCAGGTCATGGGTTTTTTAGATGTTTTCAGCCCAAGACATGCTGTGTGGCAGAGACATTTCTCAAGAATTCACTTTGATGCGGAATCTGCAGGGCCGTGGTTCTTGAGCTGTCTTTGTGCTCTGCCTTCAGTTTCTTTGTGAGATGGTTGGGCTGGGGCTGCTGAGATCTGAAAGCAGCTGGCCTCCCTCGAGGTCCCTGCAGCAGGCACCTTGCTGCTTTGCTTCCAGACAGATGCAGACCCAGAAGTTTGCAAGAAAATGTGCAAGAAGAATGAGTTTGAATCCGTCCTGTCCCTCGTGGCGTATTATCAGATGGTAAGGTGGCAGAATGCATCAAATCTCTCTTCTTTTTGAGATTTCCATGGAGATGTAAAAGAGCAGGGGTGCTATGATGAATATATGCAAGACATTCCTGGTGGATTGGGCAGTTCTGTGAACTAGATGGAGTTGCAGCACATCCCTTTTGCATGCTGGCTAATGTCAATGCTATGCATGCAAGCTGTATGGAAGAGCAGAGGATGCTATAGACTTCGAAGCGGTAGCTAGCAATGTGAAGGGTACAGCTTGCTGCTTTTATTAGCTCCATTGAGGGACAAAATCGGCATCGCTGATGTCTAGAGGAAGGATTTCCGAGGATGCCTTGGGAAAGCTGACGGGCTGTGACTGCTCCTCTTTTAATTGATGCACTCCTGTGCATTAGTAAATAGCTTTGCTTAGGAAAGTAGGTTGTGAGTAGAAGCCCTGGGAGTGAGGAAGGAAATCAGTATTCAGAGGAAGAAATGGAAGTTTTGCCTTCAATGCCTATGCAGTGTTGCTGTGCTCCTCTCCTTCCTGGAACTTGCTGTTGTAGGACTCTGCGGGGGTTGCAAATTTGTCCCCATCTTGTCCCTAAGTCCCCAGCTACAGCAAATCAAGCCTTGTGGCGTTTAGCTTTCATCTGGCACTTGTGTGTCTGAACCCAGAGCTCAGCACCGGGGTGCTGTAGCGTATCTGAGAGCAGTGGAAGGCAGGCTTAATGGAGCCTGCTGGCTTTCGCTGCCTGCTCCTCTCTGACCAGCCTGTCAAGGGAGCCTGGCCAGGTGGAGAGCAGTTGGGTCTCCTGGTCGTGCCCAGTGCCAGGGCTTGGCTCCCTCCTGCTCTCTGAACCTGGGGTTGTTGGCCGAGGCTGGAGTATGAAGGTTACCCCAGCACCAGAGCTCCTGCGTGGGAGCTGCAGGTTGAGCGTTGTCTCTGCTGGAATCCCTGCATGTCCCAAAACTTTCTGGTTATACCCTCTGCTCCCAGCACAGACCTGACGGCTTCGCAGTGGAGGAGCTGCTCCCATCCTGTTCGTTAATCGTCACCTGCTGAAGACGGTTTGCAAATATCGCGTTGTCAGGAAACGTTCTTCAGAGCAGCATTTGCAAAACCTCAGTGTGCTCAGAGAATCCTGGCTATCCAGCAAATTAAATTGCTGTTTGCTGGAGATGGGTATAGGTTGTTGATTTGTATCGTATTAAGTGCGGCTTTTCAGATCTGAGCTCTGGCTGCCACCTGACCACGTGTGCTAACAGCCTGTAGCCAGCCCGGCTGCAAAGTTCTCGTAAAAGGACTGCTGTGCTGTTGTTAACAGCTAGTAGAGCTTCTGGGGTCACCGTCACCCTGGGGGGGTCTGTAGCTTCCCAACAGCAGGAACTTCTAGCCAGTTGTGTCTCTGCCTTAGAGCAAGCCCTCATTTGGGACGTCGTTTGATCTAAGGAATTGTTTTTGCAGGAACACAGGGTGCCGTTACGGCTGCTGCTGTTGAAGTGCTTTGGAGCCATGTGCAACTTGGATGCTGCAGTCATCTCAACGCTTGTAAACTCCGTGCTGCCGATGGAGCTGGCCCGGGACATGCAGACTCACACGCAAGGTGAGCCAGAGCGGCTGTACCCAGGTCCCCAGGGACGTGTCTTTCCTTTAGATGATTTACAGCAGCACTGGTGGCCCCTCGCTGCCTGACTGCTCTATGTGCCCCGTGCTCTGGGGAGAAGGGCGTCTGGTTTTAAAGTTATTCAGGTTGTTAGAGCTGTAAGTGGAGAATGCACGGGAGGGGATGTTTCAGTCCAATGAGGCAAGGCCCTCTGGCTCTTGAACGTGCCATTAGGGATCTGCATCGCTTCTTGGAGATGTCTTAAAGCACATTGTGAGCTGTTCCAGTTTTGTTTCATGATGTTGACAGGAGGCACCTCAAGATCTCTGCAGCTTCTTATAGGCAGTTTTTCTCAGCACTCTACACCAGATCTTTGCAGTGTTTGTTGCTGGTGAATGAGACGTGTGCTGGTTAAAGGAGAGGACCTTCTCTCCACCACTGTACCAAGGGTGATGGTAGTGCTGTTAACAAAGTTGCGGTCCTGGTCATCTGCAGGGTAGTGTCACAGCCCTGCTTTCCCCAGCTTTTTGCTTTCTGTACACAGGCTTTGCCCTCACAGTCCTTCTACTTCATGCTCCTGCTCCCTTTTGTTAGGATGGCCTGTCCCTGCTGTTAACAGGAATGTCCCTCCTGCCCTTTGAGCTCCATGTGCTCAGAAGCTCGGTGGTGGTGGTGTGCTCAGATTTTGCTAGCGCTGTCCCCCAGAGCTCATGCTTAGCCCAGTGTCCTTTATCTCCCAGCAGCCCGGAGCAGGTGCTGAGGAAGAACCTAAGAACAAGGGAAACGTGTAGTAAGACTCCCCTGACATTACCTTCCAGCCGCCCGTGCGTGCCCGTGGCACACCCCGGGCAGTCACAGCTTTGCTTCCCGTTCTGAAGTCAGCCTGTCGGCCACCAGCACTGGCAGCATTTTCTCTTAAAGGGATATGAAAAATCCATTGTTTTGTGCTAATCATAGCCAACAATTAAAGTAGCTGTTGAGTGGCGGTGTGGATCAAATCCCAATATTTGAAGCCCCATATCTGGAGCCTCGCTGCCCTGATTGCAGTCTGTAGCCTGTTGGTTTGCTGTGAGTGTGGTGGAGCTGTGGAGAAGCTTAATTCATTGATGAGATTGTGCAGGGATTGACAAGTCTGCGCAGAACAGGGACCATCACATCCATTTCGTGTGAGCCGGTCAACGTCCAAGACTGCAGCCTTGGATGTGCATAATAGATGTCCCTGTCCCCAGCATCCCACCACAGGCTGGGCCAACCCAGCTGCGTGGTGGACAGGACTAACGGGGCTGATCTGGCGTCTAGAAAGGGGTGTGAGAGTGAAAATCAAGCCTGTTGCAGAAGGCTTTGTGCTCGCCTTTGCTTAGATGCTTTGAAGCGCGGGCATTTCAAAGGTGGGGAGTGCCTGAAAAATAATGTTTCAGCTCAGGGCAGGGCAAAGCACTGGTGGTGTGGAGCGGGACTGCGATCATCACGCCTCTGTTGGCTACGCTTTCTCTTTGTGCTACCGCTGCCTATCAATTCCATGCAGTGAACTTACCACGCTGTTGGTGTTTCATCTGGCTGTGCATGAGAAGCCTCTTCTCTAGGCTGAGGTTTTACTGCCCAAGAAGCAAATAATACTTGGTTATGGGACTATGTGCTTCTGGGACAACATTGCTCCTGATTCTGTGCTGCCAAAAATAAACTTTATCGTGCATCCATCACTAATTCATAAAGATTGTCTTCTGGGGAGCGTTTTCTGCACTGTGCTCAAACAGGCTTCAGTCTCCTGCTCTGTTCCCCGAGCTGCCTTTGTGCAGGCAGGGTGGGCTGGCCCTGAGCTTTGGCGGAGCCCCTCGTCGCTGATCCCGTGTCCTGGCTCCCTGCCTGTTGCGTTGTCCCAGACAGCACGCCTAACTCGGCCTCTTGCTGGCTTCAGCGCACCTCTGCTGATCTCCGCATAGTGCCTCTGGTTGAAGCAGGCCTATCTCCCAGCAAGCGTTAGCTCCGCTTTGGGGACCTAAAAAGCATCGCGGTGGAAGCGGGTGAAAAGTGGCTCCTCTACAGCCTCTGATCTGCCAACCTGCAGCTCTGCAGCATCCCTTCTCTCCCTTGCTTCGTCTCAAGGTTTTTCCCCTCCTTGCCGTAATACATAGGCAGTGCAGCTGAAGGGTGAAAAGCTGCTCTTCCTTTGCTGACAGATTGCTTTTGGTTACAGGAGCCTCCCAAATCCATGTCCTGATCCCGTGCCGCCTTCCTCGTGCTAAGCTTATGGCAGGTGCTTGTGCAGACGTCATCTGCGCAGCATCCAGTCCCCTTGGCCTTTGCAGCGGGGCTGCAGAGAAGTAACCATCCTTGACCCAAACGTGTCTGTCCTTCCAAGGTGTTTTAGGGCATTAGTGGTTCCCTCCTGCCATTCTGGTGCTTACTGCTCCATGCCCTGCCAGCAAATGGCAAGCGGAGTACTTTGAGTGAAAACACGACCTTGAATTCTAGAATGACTTGAGCTTATTTTAGTACTAGAAACTGGGGAATAGCAGCTGATCCGTGACATACCATGGAATAGCTAATCCCTTCTGCGGATGGCTGGGGCCAGAGCAGTCGGTGCCAGCACTAAGCAACCGGGGAGCGTTGAACTGGCTGCAGCAGCTCTGTGGGATCCCTCCTGGCTTGTTACCGAAGAGCAGCCGAGGCAGAAGCTCTGTGCCTGGATGCTGGGCGCCTTTGATGAGAAGGCACTTTACCCTGGGGCTGATGCAGGCCTGTTGGCTGCTGGCCAGTTCTTCTGCCAGATGCTTGGGTCTTATTGCTTCTGGACAGCCACTTCCCTCTGCTGCGGCTGGCCTGTGCATCTATCAGTGTTAGAAGAGCTTATAATAAGCCACAGCGAGGCAGAATTAGCCAGAACAATTCCAGAGAAAACAGACGGGGATAATCCGCTCTGTAATTGTGACTTTCTCCCTTGTTGCAGCTCCACGTACGTGCAAGTCAGCTGGCGGGCTCTTTTTACTTGAGTTGTAGATGCTTGTGCCTGCTCCCAGTGCCCGGATTTTGCACTGCTGTGTTTAGAGGTTGGAAGCAAGGTCTTTGAAGGCCTCTGAGAAATAACCTTTTGTGCATAATAGCAGCTTTTTCACCAGTACCTCGGCAGGCTTTGGAAATGCAGGCTGGTGAGCAACCAGCCGCATCTCTCCTGCCCTTCACGGCCATTTGAGTGATGCTTATCAGTCTGTCGTCAGCAGAGTCCCTCTGCTTCAGGAGAGTTGTATTAACACTGTCTACTTTCTTGCAGCCACTGGTGCTGCTCTGGAAGGAAAAAAAGCTGTGCTTTGACCAGCAATTACTCTGTTCTTCAGCATGGTGAGTCTTGGATGAGTCTGGCTGCAGCCGGGACACTCCAAAAACTTGCAGAGTCTGTGCTGAGTGAGTGCAGTGGGTTAATGCGGATTTTCCCCGAGTTCAGCTTTCTGACTGGTTTCAGCATCCTTTGGTTCAGTGTCCTTAGGCAAATCCAAAAAGATTTGCCACCTAGTAGTGGAGTCTGCTGTCAACCGCGATGAATGGACATCAGTTGATGGCAGATGGGCCAAGGATGTGTAAAACGACCCTCCCGTCTCTAAGCTCTTCCTCCGTATTTGCTACAACCACATGTTTCTCACTGGCTTCTGGTTCTCAGACCATGATTTCATTGCTCCTGATGTGATGAGGGAAAATGTTTTGTTCAGGAAAGCCTTACTAGGACCGCGGGAACAGCAGGTCCCTATGTCTACCTGCTGCGGTGTCCTGCCTCTGATACCCAGCTCCTGAAGCTGTGGAGGGAAGAAGGAAGAAATGATGTGGTGAACAGTTTGTCAGATTCTTTCTGTTACAGGGAGCTTTGGCACCACTGACACCTTATAGCTGAGAGCTTCTTATATAACTATGAATTACATTTAAGTCATTGAATATCCTCACTCCTTATTTACCAAGAGTAAACAGCAGTTTCCAGCTTTCCTTTGCTCCCACATGGGCTAGAGTGCTCTCCTACAAACTCTTAGTCTTGTTAATGCTGTAGTATCTCTGGTTAAGCCCCAAATGATCTATTTTTACTCCAAGTATTTGCTGTTTGAAGACTCAGGCATCTTGTGGAGTTCTGACAAAGTCTGCATGTTCTTTGTTTGTAGAGGCTTTGCTCACAGAGCTGACTTGCCACGGGCACGAGGCTGGAATGATTCTCTAGCGTTTTTCCCCCCCGCTAACAATAAATCTGAGAGCTGCCAAGTGTTGCAAGTCCTTTGGCCAAGTCCAGGAGTGTCCGGTGACAGCGAAGGCATCAGCCTGTGCAGTAAAACCAAACTGCAGGGTGCAGGTGCTTGGGGACGGATCGGTTTGTGCATAGAGAAATGAAATGTCTTAAAGGGTTGGAGGGGACCTGGAACCAGCATGTATTGCCCAGGGAAGCAGTACTGTTGGGAGAAGCGTCATACATTGAAGGGACTTTCTCCTCTAATGAAAAGTAATTTTGGTCAGTTTTTTATAAATACACCCTCAGTTTCTTGTAACGAGTGCCCCCGGGCTCTCTCTGGCAGAGGTAGCTGAACTTTATTTAGCCAGTACGTGTGGTAACCTACTTTATAAAAATAATACTCCTTTTCTTATCATCTTCAGACTTGCTGAACTGGACAGAGGCTACATTTTATTATGACATAGATCCTATTCCATTACTTTTTTTTTTTTTTCTTCTGCAAATATCTACTGAGGTGTAGCCATTAATTAAAATTCAGGAAAGGCACTGGCTGTGGGTCTGTGGAGTATTCACATAGAGCTGCTGCCAGCGAAAATTGTGTTGGACTAGCAGGCTGCGGGACGTGTTAAGGCCGGAGACGTGTGGCCTGGGAGGTGGGCAGATGCAGAGCCCGACTCGTGAGCAGCGATCTGGTCTCCCCAGAGACCTCCTGTACCTCCAGGCAGAGCTGAGGTGGCGAAAGTAGAGCAGTGCAGAGACGGTAACAAGCGGCATAACTGTCCGGGGGTGGTGTAGGTTGGAACAGGCGGTATTTCAAGGTGGCCAGATGGATGCTTTTTCTGGGTTGGGTAATTACATAACTACGGGATGTGTCCTGGGACTGTGCAGGGGAGGCTTTTCGTTATGCAGCTCAAGTTTGCCCAGATCCTCGTCAGTGGAGGGGGAAAAAAAAAAAATTGAGAATTCTTGTTGTGATTATTTTTAAATTGCTTTGGAAATGCATGGCGCAGAAGGCGTGTGGTGTGCTTAAACAGGGGGAAAAACACCCTTATAGCTCAGCAAATACAGGAACGAGGAGCAGTCTCATCAGTGTTAAATGTCTGTATTAAACGTGCGACTTCCCAGCTGCAGCTGGGGAACAGCGTTTTGCATCTGTAGAAGAACTAATGGCAGGACCTTTATCTTGCAGATCATCAGAAGATGTGCTACTCCGCACTGGTGCTGGCGATGATGTTCTCCATGGGGGAGCCCCTGCCATACCATCACTATGGTAAGAGCAGCTTGTGCTTACGGCTTGGTAGGACGGCAGGCGTGGTGGTGGGACATCTGGGGCGTGCTGGCAGGCACCAGGAGGGGACCTTTCCTGGTGGCCAAGGTGGGGACAGCAAGGGGAAAGCCCAGCACAAGCAGAGCGAGAGTAGGGTCTGCTCTTTATCAGTAGAGCCTGGCTGCTGAAACACTGGGCTGAGATGCCAGATTTCCAGGGAGCAGCACAAATCTGAGTTAGAGCAGTGGAGGACTGATGCCATGTTCCAGAAGAGGTGGATTTGTGTGACTAAGCGGCATTTTGTTTTACCTCTGCCCCGTGTGAAAGCATGCACCTCTTCCTTGCCTCGGAGACGTTCCGTCTGCTGCTGAGGCTGCGAGCCCAGATCGCTCCATGAACGCCCACTAAAGCTGTCAGCTGCATCATCTGGCCTCCTCCTGGCCTCCCTTCTAGCGGGACGGTGCAGCCCTGGGTATTTCAAGCTCTTAGGGAAGGCGGAGATGATTAAGGGTATTGTGGTCTATACGGAAGCGCAAACCTGCCAGACCTGCCCGGTTCATCCTTCGTCCTTTCACTCCAGCCTTCAGCCAGAAAGCATTGCCTGCCTGCTTCTTCCCCTGGCCACGTTGTGCTCCTCATATTTGGGAAGCTCTGGGCTCAGTTTTCCTAGAAATGCAGTAGAGGTTGCTATAAGCATCTCCTCAGCAGCTTCACCTTAACACCCTGGCAAACACAGAAGATTTAAGCCGGTGCAGTAGAGACTGTGGAATGAGCCTCCACACCTCCTGCTTCTCTCTCCTCTTGTAACCCTGGCCATTATATTCCTGCAGGTGAAGTTATTTGTGTGAGCTCCTGAGCTTTCCTAATGGCAACACTGAAAAATGCGTTATTACTAATGATCTGGACAATTACTTTTTTTAAAATAGATGGATTAAACCAGTGGTCAAGAATACAAGTTTCTTCCTACCTGAAGCCTTCATTGGCAGCAGTGGTGCTGGAACAACAGCTAGAGCAGGATTTGGTGTTTTATTTACTCCAATAAAAATTGCCAGTGGGGGGACCATCTTTCAGCGTTCCCCTGCACTGTGGATAGTTCTCTGAGCCACTTGTCTCTCGCACAGAGACACTCCAGAGATGTGTCTAGTCCTCTTGCGGGGTTGCTAATTCCCTGGAGGCTGACGCTGGCGCTCCACTGATGGTTTTTAAGCATAAAGCACGGGGAAGCGGCTTTCATGGTCCCTCGTTGCTTGGCTTATTTTCACTGTGCTGTAAATGCCCCCCTTTCTCCTTGCGCAGAACACCTCAACCCTCAGTTTGTGCAGTTCCTGCTGGATGTGATTGAGGACGGGCTGCCCTCGGACACCACTGACCAGCTGCCTGACTTATTTGTCAACGTCCTTCTCGCCTTCAATCTCCACATTCCAGGTCGGTTTGGTGCTGCTCTGCCTTGGCAGGATTTCAGTGGTCTGGAACAGTGAGGATACGAAGAATGGGGAGGGAGAATCTCACTGGAGCTTCATGGTGCTGCGATAACCTCTCCAGCTCCCTAGCCTCTGGCAGTACACTGTGTTTAAATATTGTGCAAAACCCTAGAGGGGAAAAACAGTTTGAGAGCCCGTGTCCAACCAGCTGACCCTCCGGGGCACAGCTCTGTGAGGCCCAGCGGATTTCTCTCTGTGCTTCCGCACTGCCTGGATCAAAGCAGTTGCTGGGCTGCACTCGCAGAACGTGAGTGGGGTTAACTCGTAGGCACAGCTGATTGGGGAGGGAAAATGCTTCAGCGGGCATTTCCCAGTACCAGTCCAGAAGGAAAGTCCTCTGCCCTCTGTAGGTCTTGACAAACCTTCTGCTTCCCCAGCTGCACCTCTTGAAGCTCATTCAATGCCCGTGTGTTGGGGCCAGGCTCTTCGATGCTGGCCCGAGCTGCGCTCTCTCCTGAGCGCCCCCGTTCCTGTCCTCCCTCCCCTGCTGAGCTCCACGAGAACAGACAGCACTTCTGCTCCCTAGAGAAGGGCCTTTGCCTCCTGCTGCCTGCGAGTTTTGAAGCCTGTTGTTGGAAGATGGGAAAGTAGTTCCAGGTCCAGGTCCTGCTAAGAGAGGCCACTCCTTAGCCCCAAATCTCCTGTTGCTCCAGTTGTCTGTAGTTAATTACTTCCTCTTCTGCTTCCTGGCTTTATCCTTGGCTTCGTGGCGAGAGGGGAGGATAAAGCAGCAAGGACGCGTCCAGTAATTTACCTGTTATTTTGAGTTGCGCTTCATTAAAATTTACGTGAAAGTTTCTAATTTCATGTGAAAGTTGATTGCACAGAGACCGATGGAGTATGGTCTCTGCTGCTTTCCTTTGTTACCCCTTCTCACGGTTCCCCGCTGCGGTAATTAGGCGACAGTGCACGCCAGGCGGTGTTTCTGGGGGATTATTGCCCACCCGGGGGGTAGCCGAGAGCAGGGACTTGTTCTCTGATGCTAAGAACATGTTAAATGATCTTCAGGTCGCTTATTAGTGGATTGAATTTTTATTCCTCTGCATGCAAGACTCATCTATCATACAGTTCGGTGATGCAGTGTTAGTTCAAAAGCTCTCCTAAAAACATATTATATCGATGCTTTTCAGTGTGAAGGATCCTGAAGCACTTTGCAGCCTGCGAAATATTATAGGGCCACCAACCCTATGCCATAGGAATCACCACACTGTACGGCTTGGCTGCTTCTGAGCGTGCACACTCATGCATAAAGTCTGCTAGGGTGAATATATTTTAATTGCAAGAAATCGCCCCCAAAGCAGCTAGGGGACATTTCCTAGAAGGTGTCTTCACCACCTCCCCTTGCACAGCCCCGTGCCGAGTGCTGGGAAGAACTTTTCCCTCCTGGCATGCTCCTGGGACCTGGCCGTCCCTTCTTATGGGAAGGTAATAAATTTCCAGCAGGGCACTGCTGATAGCAAGTACGAAGACACTGGAGAGCGGAGCCCTTGGCTTCAGAGGCTGTGAGCAGAGGTAACGTTTCACAACATAAAGCTTTTGCAAGGTATTTTGCAGTATTTGGCTGGCTGGACTGGATCCCGCATGTGAATCAGATGCATATAGAAAGCCCAAAGTCCCAAGTGTTTCCCGCGTCGTTTCCAGATTTATTTCACCTTCCCTCTCCCTGCCCACCCACTCCGGGGGGCTGAAGCTTTTCGTAGCCCTGATAGACCGTGGTTCCCCAAACCTCCCCAGAGCACCGATGTGAAATAGGCGCCCTCCACTATTTTGTTTTGTGTTATTACCGTGGTCTTTGGGAAACAAAGGGATGTGCTGAACAGGTTTCTTCCTTAGTTCCAGAACACAGTGTGATCATGACTACCATAAGCAAGCACTCGAATGTCAAGACTTTCACTGAAAAGCTGCTGCTGCTGCTGAACAGGGGAGGTGAGTGTTTGCGGCACCGCTACAGGCCTGGCGGGGGGTGCTGCTAACGGTGGCTCTGGGAGCGAAGGGGTGGGATGTGCCGGGGACGCGGGGAGCTGCGGCTCAGGCGGGACGTGCTGCTTGCTGGTGAGTTTGTGAGGGTGACGGGCTGCATTGCTGAGGATGGAGCTGCACAAAGAATAACGTGATGCTGGTGGCATCTGGGAAGAGAGAGGGGCCTCCGGGTTGGTGTTTCCATGCAAACTGGTCCCCTAGTGCTTCTGGGTCAGATCAGCCCCATCTCGTGGTGTGGCTGGCTGCAATGTAGGCAAGCTCTTGTCTGGGAGGAAAGCTGGTCCTGGGCCACTTCTGTCCTTGGAGAGGCAGGGCTCCGTCAGCGCTGGCACACAAACCTCAGCCCATGCTGGCCATCGTCTGCCCCGGGGGACAGATCCGGAGGGAGGTCTTGCCTTCCGAAACGCTGCTTAGAGTGGAACTTCCCATTTCAGAATTGCCAGCAGAGGGTTAGCTTTGTGTCTGCTCCAGGCGTAGAGTGAAATCCGCTGTGCCTGGAGAGCTTTTGCAAAGCAGATTGCTAGAAAGCTGGAGATCTCCGCAGGAAG